AGAGAAGCGAACGGACGCCGAGGAGAGGAGTCGAAGGCCGATACAGGCAGCCTACAGACGAGCCGACGCCAGAACAATCTGGCCGCCGCCGCAATCAACTTGCCACCACCACAGCAGCCGCCGGGCATGCAGCCGCGCAGCCACCGCCACAGCGCCGCCACCCCGACCAACCGTGGTGGCCTCGGTCAGGGCCGCCGCCCGCACCCCGCGCCGCCGAGAGGCCAGATCTGGGAGAGCCGTCACGGCCGCCGTCTCCAACCTCCGGCCCGCGCCACCACCACCAACTGCCGCGGTGCCACCACTACCTGTCGCGGCCACGACAGAGGTGGCCACCGGCAGCCCACGCCGCCATGAGCCAGATCTGGGCGCGCTAGAGTCGTCGCCGTCTCGGGCACACGCGTGCCACCCGCCTAGCCGCCCGCTGCAGGGGGAGGTAGGGACGTCAGGGCGCCGCTCCAGCCTGCTGCACCGCCATGGAGCCTGGCTACAGCGCCACGACCCGGCCCGAGGCGCCAGCCCGCGCCAGCACCGCCCCGAGCGGGAAGACAAAGGGGCTCTGCCATCGCTGCCCCAGCCCGCCGCCCGCCGCGGGGAGGCTAGAGGGGATCCTCAGCAAGTTTCACATGAGGTGCTATCTTGCTGTCGATCCACGACATCGTTACTAGGCTCAGCGTTGCGCTTCTTCGTTTAGTGGGTAGATTCGTGCTCCGGTGCCTCCAACATCCATCGCCAGGCCCTCTCCTCCATAATTTATGTTCACGACATGGTTGAAAGCACAAGTGCTCCCTAGGTGGTTTTGGTAATTGATGTCAACATATCTCTTGTTGGACTAACACTTTTATCTAGTATGTTTCAGATAAGTTCAACAATGGAGTGGCATGGACTAAAAGATGTGGGAACTCCTTCAAGATGCTAAGGACAAAGGATTGGCTCAAGCTTCAAGCTCAAGACTCTTCATTTTACATTTTAGTGATCCAAGATCACATTGAGTCTATAGGAAAAGCCAATACTATCAAGAAGGGATGAGGTGTTGCTTAATGAGTTTCTTGCTCCACAGTGCTTAGTGATATGCTCCAAGACCCTCAACTACTTTCCCACTTCCACACATATGTCCTAAACCTAAAGTCAAACTCGGCCCCACCGATTCTTTCTATCCGACGCCACCGAGTTCAGATGTCATAGCCACTGGCACAAACCCTAGACAAATCGGTCTCATCGATAGGGATCTCGGTCTCACCGAGATGGGATTGTAATCTCTCTGTGTATGTCCATTACCAAAATCGGTCTCACCGAGTTTGAGCAATCGGTACTACCGAGATTACAATGCAAACTCTCTGGTCAACTTATTACCAAAATCGGTCCCACCGAGTTTGAGTAATCGGTCCCACCGAGTTTGCCTGACCAACTCTCTGGTTAGCTAATTACCAAAATCGGTCTCACCGAGTTTGTGTAATCGGTCTCACCAAGATTACATTATGCCCTAACCCTAACCATATCGGTCCTACCGAGTTGCATATCGGTCCCACCGAAAACCCTAACGGTCACTAGGTTTACTAAATCGGTCCGACCGAGTTTGTTGATTCGGTCCCACCGAGTTTGGTAAATTGTGTGTAACGGTTAGATTTTGTGTGGAGGCTAGATATACCCCTCCACCTCCTCTTCATTCGTGGAGAGAGTCATCAGAACGAACCTACACTTCCAGCATCCTATTTTTGAGAGAGAACTACCTACTCATGTGTTGAGGCCAAGATATTCCATTCCTACCATATGAATCTTGATCTCTAGCCTTCCCCAAGTTGCTTTCCACTCAAATCTTCTTTCCTCCAGATCCAAATCCTATGAGAGAGAGTTGAGTGTTGGGAAGACTATCATTTGAAGCACAAGAGCAAGGAGTTCATCATCAACGCACCATTTGTTACTTCTTGGAGAGTGGTGTCTCCTAGATTGGCTAGGTGTCACTTGGGAGTCTCCGACAAGATTGTGGAGTTGAACCAAGGAGTTTGTAAGGGCAAGGAGATCGCCTACTTTGTGAAGATCTACCGCTAGTGAGGCAAGTCCTTCGTGGGCGACGACCATGGTGGGATAGACAAGGTTGCTTCTTTGTGGACCCTTCGTGGGTGGAGCCCTCTGTGGACTCGCGCAACCGTTACCCTTCGTGGGTTGAAGTCTCCACCAACGTGGATGTACGATAGCACCACCTATCGGAACCACGCCAAAAACATCCGTGTCTTCAATTGCGTTTGAATCCTTCAAAACCCTTCCCTTTACATTCTTGCAAGTTGCATGCTTTACTTTCCATTGCTCATATACTCTTTGCATGCTTGTTTGCTATATGTTGTGAATGTTAAACTTGTGCCTAAACTCCACTTAAACTTAAAGAAGTTAAAAACTGCAACTTTGATACTTAGTGTCTAATCACCCCCCTCTAGACACCTCTTCTCAAGGTCCTACAATGGTCCATCTGGTGCCACCGCAACACTTCCATTTTTCGATGGTAAGCAACCATCCATCTCGTGGTTGCTGCAGGAAATCCAAGACGAAGTGCTTTGTAGGTCAAAGCAGAGCCAAACAAATGCTCTATCTATTGCCTGAGACATATACCTCTATCTCTTGGGGAGTTGGGGCTGAGCATCTCCTCTAGCCTTCTGCTTTGGTCCCCGTGTTTAGGCCTTCTAGTGCACGTATCACGCATTGTACCACCCTTTTGTACTTGTTCAAACTTCTTATATCAATGGAACGATACGCAAGCTTTTCATATTCACAAAAAATATAACTATAATTAATTTCCTCTAATCTCTGACGATGATTTACCAACTCATATGTTATTTCGATCTTTTCACAACCCTTGCGCTATTTGGTGGATCAAGATCAACAGAAGCTAAATTAGGTTGTTTCTGGTTTTGTGAAGAATAGTATGTTGGCACTCTAGACCTAATCACACATGAAAACTTCAGTGGATAACATTGTTGACCGGGGCAAAACGACAGTGATTTCAGCGGGCCATGTCTTGCGCACAAAGGCATCGCCCTTCGCGAGCTTCTTGCTCGTAAGAGCTAGAGATAAAAACGCCGAGTCTCGCTAAAAAGATTCAATGGTACGGTGGTTCCTTGACATAGGCTGGACAGTGGAGGGTCAGTACGTGGCTCCGTCGCCGCACGACAACAAAGGTTTTTTCCTTCCTCCCAAAGCCCCAGTGAAAATCAGCTGGAAACGCACGCGAACACGAATAAGAACATAGAAGATGATATCCAGATTTTTCTCATACATGCCAAAAAATTGTTGTTTCATTCATCTATTGGATTAAAAAGCGGAAACACTTGCGTTCGGCGGCGGCCGGCTCACATGTCACACTGGCTCCAACGCGCAAGACATGCGGACGCAGTGCGCCCACGCGACTGCCTCCTTCCCCGACGCGCCTCCATCCCTACCTGGCTACCTCCAGTCGTATTTCTCCACGCACCGCATCCCTTCTTCTTCCCCAGCTTTGCGACCGAGCCACCGCGAGCTCCCTCGCACATTGGCCGGGTGCTCCCATGGCGGCGACCACGTGCTGCAACCATGGCGGTCGGGTGGGCCTGACGGCGGTGACCGAAGGTGACCACGGGGCTGCAAACGTGCTAGGAGAATGCTGTAACCAACAAGGAGATTCCATGGCTGTCTGCTACCATGGCCGGACCTGTGAGCGTATACAAGTGTTGCAACCGTCACCTAAAACAACTTCAACAACCGCTGAAAAAAGCTTCAACCATAGGTTAATAAAGCTTCAATCATCACCGCCAACAAGGAAAAGCTGCAATCATAGTTGGATTTTGCTATTACCGGCGAAGTTTTTTGCTACATCCATTCAATGGCATTGACTAACCGGCGGCCGTCGTCGATGCAATTCCGTGCAGCGAGCATCAGCGCCGACGGGCAGCGGCGGAACTGCAATTTTTTTTTTTGCGTGGATCCAATGGCCACGAGGCTCACATCCGACGGCTGGGACACGACCGGCCGAAACTGAATTAACGGGACGATGAAAATGGGAAAAATAGATGGTATTAGCATTTCCTTCATTCATTGATGGTACAGTACTAGAAGCGGAGTGTTGTGTTGGAGCCAGCTAAGCCTAGCCAGGGGTCGTCGTCGTCTCCTTCTCTCTTCCTCCTCCTCAGACCACACGGCGGGCCAGACTCCAGACTCGAGTCGAGACTGAACCAACCCCGACCCAACCCCCCAACCAGACCTCCCTCGCGATTCGAATCCCCTCACCGGCGGAGAGAGCCAAGCCCGGATGCTGCCGCCGCGCGGGCCGCCGCCGCCGACGACCGCCTAGGGTTAGCCGGCCGCTCCAGCCCC